TTGGGAGCTGCAGTAGTGGGACTCAGTATACCTCCAGCAAGCTGAAACCTGTGTGACAGGGCTGTGTTCCTGGTCCAGTGATAGTGGCTGTTCCTGACCCTTGTCACCTGGTGTTGTTGGATGTTGGCTGGAGATGGGAGAGACCTTTTACCGGCCATTGAGGGGCCACGTTAAGACCTGCTGGTGGTGAAAGGTCTTTTGGCCAATTGCTTTATTAAAAAGAAGCCTCCTTGTTATTGGTTGCCAGCAGTGGCGGACCTAAGGTGGTGTGCGATTCCATGACCGCCCAGCCATCTGCTCGGTTTTGTGCATGATGACCGGGCGGTCATGGATTGCACACCACCGCCGATCACGCTGGCAGTGTCATTATTTTCTAATGGCACCCCAGTCGTGCCAGGCAGATTGTGCGGTTGAAAACACTGTGCGTTTATTCTAATGCAGATGGGGCAGCGGGGCTGGTTTTCATTTTTTTTCCAATTTTTATTTACTTTGTAAACATTTTTAATTTTAATGTATTTTATTATTTTTACTTTGTCTTTTTTATTAATTTTTTTATTTTTATTTAGTTACAATTTTAATCAGTTGTTATTTTTTTTAATTTAATTTTATTATTTTTTTACTTTTCCTAACTATTTTTTTCACTTAAATTTATTTCTATCACACATGGGATAACAAATCCTTGTGTGATAGCATTTGGAGGTGACAGGTACTCTTTATTGACCCTGTCACCTCCAACACAGGAGTTCTAGCACAGCACAGCACTGTGCTAGAACTCCTGTGACAAGAACGAGCCGAGGACAGGGGAGGGAGGTGACAGAGCCTGTAACAGATCCATGAGTCCAGCTCCATCACTGCTCCATGCCCCCTGCCCTGTCACTGCTCCACGTCCCCCGCCATCACCGCTCCACGTGTAATGGAGGTGCCTTACGAGCTGCCGATAGCTTTTTTTCCTCTCATGTGAGGATGACGTCGGCAGCGCTGAGCGGCAGAGTGTCACGTCAATGCTGTGGGTGGAGCTCCTGGTCGCCGGCCAACTACATTAGACCCCACCTGGAGCTCCGCCCACAGCAGTGACGCAATGCTCCTCCAGCCTGCCCAGAGGACCCCAGCCACCACAGAAGGTAAGAAAAAAAAACATAGCGCAAGCTTCGGCGCTAGGCATCGGGGCATTTTGACAAGTACAAGTACTTGTCAAAATGCCCTGTATCGGGCCCGATTCCGATGCATCGGTATCGGGACATCCCTAGTCTTTTCCATATTTTCTATGTAAGTGTTTGTGTAAGTGATGTTTATGACAATTATAATTTTCCAGCTCGCCAGGTAACAATATAAGCACCGGCAGACAGAGAGCAATATTGTTCTAATAAAAACAAAAAAAGACAAATGGTGCAAGAAGTATTATTTTTTTGTATAATAAGTTTTTATTGAACACATTTTTCAAACAAGAAAACAAAAGAAAAATACATTACACAAGCTTACGTACAAGGGAAGACAATTGACAATAAGGGGATCACATTACACTCAGCAGGACTAGCTGCAATACCTGTCTTTCCAAACGTGAGGTTATGTCCTTAAGTAAGCAAGAAGTATTATTATAAAATATATTACAAAACAGACATAAGCAACATTAAAAGGGAAACAAAACACAAGTAGAGTCCGCTTGGTCTTTGGTTCAGTGAGGAGTTCAGATTGCTTGCAGAGTAAGTCCAACATGATACAGCAGAGTCACCGGCCCTCTGAAACTTCCCTTGCAGCATCCTTGGTAATATGGAGGTAAACAAGACTTCCAGCTGCCACAGACAACAGCTTTTTGTGGTCTGTGGAGAGGGTGTTGCAGATCCAATTCCACCCAATCCAAGGATCTGAGAGGTGGATGGTAGGTGTGCTGGAGAGCATTTTAGTATGCTCAGATGGGACGGCCTTAATGCCAACTATCCTGGGTACAGCTTTTTGCACCTACAAACTAGGAGCCAACATATCATTTAGCAGAATCAAAGTAAGATTTGTTAGATAGCAAACATTATAAACGCAACATCTGGATCTTGTATTTAGTGTCTAACCGATTGGTATCTTCTCATACATCAGTGTAACAACATGTGTTATAGAATATGAATTAGAATTGTGAGGTGGACATATATCTGAACATTCAGGATTAGTTCAATATACCAGACTCACAAATGTGTATTCCCTGAGCTTCTCCCAAAGTGTTTATGACTAGACCATTTGCAACAGGGCCTCAATAGAAGTCTTTTGGAGATCCTGGTAGTGGAGGTTTATGACATCTCTGCATTCCTCCTAATTTTCTCTGCTGTCTTTTTAAGGTAGCTTAAGCTGGGCTATTGTCTGTATAAAGTGTTACCTAATCCACCAGCTTACCATAGACATGAGATTTAAATGTGATCATTTATGTTATCATCTTGCAAGTTCTGAAGAAAATGGAGGGTGGCACTGTGTTTAATAAAACTGTCAATTCTTTCCACACAGCTTGGGGTTTGTCAGACCTCACTATCATCATGATGTTGGTAATCCACCATGTTAGACACATCTTGCAGAGGTGGATGGTGAGACTCTGGTGCTGGAACACCAAGGTGATGTTAGAAATCCATCATATCTGATTCATCTCATGGAGGTGGATGGTGAGCTGGTGCTGGATGACCAGGATGATGTTGGTAACCAATCATATTATTCACATCCTGTGGAGGGGGATGGGGAGACACTGGTGCTGGAACACCAGGATGATGTTGGTATCCCATCATATTATACACATCTTGTGGAGGGGGATGGGGAGACTGGAAAACAAAGATTGTGTTACTAGGGCATTGTAATAATAACATTTTGTGAATATGCTGCAACTACAAAGTCATAAAAGGTAGAGGTTACTGTAAACTGATATACAACATATGGGCTGCTAATACCATAAACATATATGTAAAGGTCAGGACCAGCAGCAGACTGATGGCCAGGGGTAAAGGATGTACCGTATATACTTGAGTATAAGCCGAGATTTTCAGCCCATTTTTATAAGTAAATTAGAAACTATATACTACATACAACTAAATGGTAAGTAAATTAGAAACAAAGCACACATACATTCACACGCCTGACCAATTTATTTGTGCAGCTCTGCTTTCTCAAGATAGATAAATTAGAAATTAGAGAGATAGATAGACAGGCCCGGATTACCCACAAGGCCACTGAGGCCCGGCCTCAGGGCGGCAGGGTGCAGAGGGGCTGCATAACGTTGTGGAATCCCCCGACGGTAAGTTGCCTTCTACATTTAGTCCTGCTTTTGGAAGGCAGGACTAAATGTAGTGTGGGGAAGCCGCTTGTTCGTTCACAAGTGATTTCGGCCATGTCGCCGCGATCACTTGTAAAATGTGTGCAGCCTGCTCATCCCCCCCGCACCTACCTCTCTCCTCTGGTTTCGTCCTCCACACGGCCGCCGAGTCTCTCCTCACTGGCTCCATGTACACAGTGAGAGGGTGAGAGCTGTGCCGTGCTGTGCTCTTCCCATCTCAGCTGTCACAGGAGTTCCAGCACAGTGCTGTGCTAGAACTCCTGTATTGGAGGTGACAGGGTCAATTAAGAGAACCTGTCCCCTCCAAAGGCTATCACACAGGGGCTTGATAGCTAGCTCCAGTGTGATAGCAATAAAGTTAAGTGAAAAAAAATAAGAAATAAGAAAAAGTAAAAAATAAGAAAAAAAACTATTTAAAAAATAAGAAAATAATCATAAAAAAATAAATAATAAGATAAAAATAAAAAAGTAAACCATAAGCTAAAAATGTAAAAAAGTTAAAAAAAAGTTTTAAAGAAAGAAACAATAAAAAATAAATAAAACTAACCCTGCCGCCCCTGCCATCCGGTTGCCATTCTCCGGAGGCAGAGAGGGGGGCGCATTGCAGAATCTGGCCTTGGGGCGGCAGGGAGAGTAAATCCGGCCCTGTATATAGATAGATAGATAGATAGATAGATAGATAGATAGATAGATAGATAGATAGATAGATAGATAGATAGATAGATATAGAATAAATGTGTATATATACATAACCACTTCAGCTCTCATACCTGTCTTCCCCCTATGGACCAGAGCAATTTTAAAATTTCTGCTATGGGCCTGTTTATTCAGTGAACAAGTATAATTACCTAAAATAACTAAATAATACATATATCACTGTTTTTGAACAAACAAAGTTTTCTTTTGGTGATAGTGTCTTTCAAAAATAAGGTTATTTTTTATGCAATTTATAGACAAAAAAAGTATCAAAACAAAAAGATATATATTTTTCACTTTGATCAATGTTAGTCAGTGTTACTGGAGATTTTAAAAAAAGGTTATTTATTTCATAATTTGTCCCATTAAGTATGACCCGTGATTGCTATTCCTGTACAAAGCTGTGCAGAGACATTTACAAACAAAATAAACATGTTTTTTTTTAAAGTTGAATTTTTTTCAAATGTGACGATATAATACATTACCAAACAAGACAAACAATTAAAATAAATTAACGTGTTAATGGCTAAAAAATAGAAATAAAATAAATCAGCACAAACATTGTTTGCAGATCAAAGGTCACATTTTTTATACTTTTATACTTTTATACCATGCCTGCGGGTGTTTATAAACACTGTTTAGAAGGTGTTTTTTTTTTTTACAGTAGCGCTGCAAGAGCTGCTGTATAACACAGAAATTCCCGGATGTCACATTGCCAGCATCGGGTGGGGGAAACGGCAGCAGAGCTGAGGGACAGGCTGCATAGGACCTGTGTATTACTCCTCGTACAACTCGTTAAAATTGCTTTCTTACTGGCTCTTCACATAATCAACTCAACTGACAAGCAGCAAACATTTATCAAAGTCCTGAGGTGCTCATCCTTCCAGGTGAAGGATAAGATGGCCCTTTTCTTCAAAGACGAACAGCACATCAGCAGAGTACAATGAGTACTGTACTGGAATAACACATGTAGAACAAACTTGAAATTATGATTTTTATCTCTCACCTTTATCTCTTATAGAGAATTCCTTGTACTCCTCCTCATCCATGGACTCGTGTCTCCAGGTCAGTCGTACTCTGAAGTCCGGGTTGTGTAAGAGACTCTCAGGGACTCCACATTGACTGGTAACACTGAATGTTTTATTCATATTGGTTGTATATTTCTCCTGTGATGGGCAGCGTTGTCCCGGCTGATCTCCTGACCAATCACACCACTCAATCTGGATGTTTTTGGGATAAAAGTTGTCCAGCATCTGAGAGAGTATCAGCTCCCCGCTACCCAGAGATGATTTCATTGGCTTCCTCACCTTTGGTTTGGCTGGGAGTCAATAAAAGTTTATAATAGTGAGACAAATGTGTATTATAGTCATGGTTATCACTTATAGCAGAACTAACTTTTTTGTTTATGCAAACATTGTAAAATTTGAAATAAAAAAACAGTCCTATTACATGCCCTCTTCCTGGCACAGAATAAGAAAAAAACAATTCCCAACAGAGAACTTCCTGCGATGGAATGATTACTTCACTTCACTAGACAATAGTTACATAGTTGTTAAGGTTGAATAAAGACACAGGTCCATGTAGTTCAACCTAAGTGTGTATTTGTAGGATTTACTAAGAATTCCCATTCCCCTGTACATTGTGTTCCATGAGGAACATCAATACACAGAAAAACATCTAGAAGTTTTTTGAATGTGTCTATACTCTCAGCTGATACCACCACCGGGGGATGGGAGTTCTACAACTTCACTGCTCTAACAGGAAGTTAGGCAGTTTGAGATTAAACCTATTTTCCTCCAATCTTGTGTGGTGCCCTCTTGTCTTTGTCAGGAACCTTAGGGTAAACAGCTTGTTAAGGATTCTGCCATTCAACAGTTTGTACACTGAGATGCTATCCCTACATAAATGCCTCTTCTCCATAGTGAATAAGTGTAATTTCAATAATCCTTCCTCATAGTCCAGGTCTTCCACCCACCTTAATAATTTTGGTTCCCTTCTCTGTACACTCTCTCTGCAAGTCCAAATACATCCATCCCCTGAATCGGTGGTCAAAACTGGATGGCATACTCATGATGAGGACGGACCAGTGTTTTATATAGTGGTAGAATTATAGATTCCTTCCTATAAGAATAAATACCATTTTTTTATGCATGATAGTACTCTACTCGCTTTGTTAGCTGCAGCTGGGCATTGCATGCTATTGCTAAGTCTCTGGTCTACTAGGACTCCCAAAGTTTTTTCCATCTCTGATTTCCCCAGGGGAGTTTCCTCTAACAAGTAGCTTGCATGTGTATTTTTAACATCCAAATACATAATATTACAATTATAATACATAATAAATACAATGTTGCTATGTCTTGTGATGAGTTGCATATTTTGGTGTTGTCAGCAAACACTGAAATACAGCTATTAATACCAACCTTAATATACTTGATAAACCGGTACTTTGGTCTGCTTTAAATTTTTGTTATCTGCTGTGTGTGATATTGCCGTTAATGTTCTTTCACTCACCCTGCACCTGTAGGGGTCCTGATGTCCTCTCTATGGGTCTCTCCAGGCTGGGATGGAACACTCTACACATGATCTCTGATTCTACGTCTCTCATGGTTGGTTTGAACAGCAGTCTGGCTGTACAGGAATAGGTGTGATCGGACTGTCTCTGGGACTGGATGTCTAGTATCTGGTACACATTACTCTCTGATAGAGGAATATATTCCTGGGCTCCTTTCTCCTTCCTATGCCAACTCACAGTCACAGCATCAGGGAAGTATCGGGAGATGTTGTATTGCAGAGTGTTCTGTCGCTCTATTAGTACATGAGGTATAGGGACCTCTTCAACTACAGGGCACCAGGGCAGACCTTCAGAGAACAATATAAAATTATAAACATCATCAACATATTCTCCAATGACCTATGTATATTACAATGTGGCTTCTGAATCATGCAATATGGAAACTATATTAACAGCAAAACATCAACAAGGTGCACTTATTATTCACCAGGATTTTGTTGATTCAAATCAGTTCTACAACAGTGTCAATTCCCGTCTCTGTCACGGCAGTGTTTCAGCTTTCTAGTAGAAGCAGTAATTAGGGATGCACTGAAATTTTTACCCGCCGAAACATATCAGCCTAAAATGAGACTTTTGGCAAAAGACTGAAAGTGTCATCTTTTGGCCAAAATAGCGGTACATGCCTGGTTTCTCTCCTCCCTGCTGGGCGCTGCTCTGTGTCCCCTCTGACACAGTGCATTGCCCAGCAGGGAGGACAGAAACTGTCACAGGAGGCTGAGTGTTGCGGGGGGGAGGAGAGTAATGTGAGCGTCCGGCGTGTCACAAGAGGCTGGGATCTCCTGTGACAGATCAGTAGAGCGCTGTGTGGGGGTGGAGACAGCTGTCACAGAAGACCGAGCTCTCCTCCCCGCACCACCCCACTCAGCCTCCTGTGTCAGTGAGTCAGGATGGAGTGGGTACAAGGACAGAATTAGGAGAATTTAAAACTGGAGCAGATGTGCACAGCAACCAATCATCATCTATCGTTCATTTTCAAACCTTAATTAAACAAACTGAACAGAAAAGATGATTGGTTGCCCTGCACATCTGCTCCAGTTTTTGTTCCCCCTAGTATGTAAATTAATCGTATAACAGTGTCCCTTCCTGTCTCTGTCATGAAATGAACTCACATTGTTTCACCTTTCTAGTAAATTGACCTGAACTCAAAAAGTGAAGATCTACTATCTTATAGAACACATCTGGAAAGGATTACTGTGCCTAAGCAGTACTGTGAACATCTACCTTCTGTCTGGAAGTCCTCTGGAAAAATAGCAGATTACTTCCTGGTATGTGAGGATGCCTAGGCTCTCCTGTGCCTACAGCCTCATAGCTGTATATCTGCCGTGTGAGATCTAAAGCACTGCTGTCCCTGACTGGAGTTTTGGATTGAGATTTATTTCTGTAGAGTCATTACATGTATTCTTTAGTAAGGGGGCAGTGGCACATCACCAAAACTGATGTCTTTCATAGACACCATTCCAGTGCAGCAGGGAGCTGCAAGTGTAGCTCCAGCTGCTCTTTTATAAGTCTTAGGCCAAGTGCAGACGTGGGATTGCACGGCCCTGCACAAATGCAGACAGCGTTTGCCACACGGTCCCATTGATTTCAATGGGGTGACATTCGCTCAGCAATCACAGAAAAAAAAGGTACATGTATCTTTTTTTTTTTTTGCAATACACGATGCGTGGCTGTTTTAGAAAATAATGGCACCCACATAGCATTCCTCTGTGCTGTGAGACTCCATGACTGCGCGGCAATCCACACGTTATCATGCACGATTGCCGCGAGGTCAGGAGTCGCCTAGGTGTGCACCGACCCTTAGCTGAACTTAGCTTACAGCAAACTATAAAATTAAATGAAACAGAAGTAGATGTAATGATATAAAAATGAAGGAGGCCAGAGTATGGGTTTAAAGCCTACAAATTGCATAGACTGCTTATTATAATGAAATGAAAACCTTATGTTTCTGTGATTATGATTCATCATTGCTAAAAACATTACTAAAGATTCCTTAGATCCTTTCCACAATAAAATAACATCATTTAAAAAAGCCTGAAATTCCAACGTTGTGCCGCACATCCGACAGTTCATACCTCTATGATAAAGTCTATCTGGTGGAACACGTGAGAGGCTATGGGGCCGGTGTGATATGATTTTGCTGTGTACTTGGATGGTATGAACTTTCAATAAATCTGAATCTTTTATGAACTGTCTAATGCGCAGCTCTACGGTGGAATTTTAGGATTTTGAAACACCAGCATGTATGTTTGGAGCACCCGATTGATGTAACTGGTAATCTCTCTAGATTAAATATAGGTTTTCCCATATAGGTGGTTCCCATAGCAGCCCCACTTAATTGTATGTAGAAATTATTATTGTACTAAAAGTAATATGGCTTCTGGCAAAGTTTAAGGCCTCTTTTTGTATTACAGGTAGATCCTCTCGCTTTTATAGTATCTATTGCACAGCCTCCAATGCTTCCCTATGATCTATTATCATGTACAGGGAGCACACATCCAATGTAACCAAAAAGACCTACCTCAACCAAAACCCATGTAGAGACTCTAGCCTCTACTAGACCTTTTGGTCTAGGGTCTAAAATAAAAAATATATACTCACCGGATACTTGGTCTAGCCTGGCTGCTAGGCCAGTCCTCCTCTCCCCTGGGTTCCGGCGGGCTAAGGACCCATGACATCATCACATCTATACAGTCTATTAGACTTGAAGACACTGCAGGAAATTCTACAGCCAGAGCCAAAGGGAAGAGAGGTGAGCGGTCACTGATGCAGGATTGAGGATCAAGAGAGTATATGTTTTTTATTTTAGACCTTCACCTGAACAAGCACTTAATTTTTGCAGTTCCGGGGGAGCCCCACCACAAAAGTTCATTTTTTAACTGCCCAGAGTTCTTACAAATTGTTGTCAATCGTTATAAACAGTCATTCAATTTTTGGGTCATGTTTCAATCCTAACACATTTTTTCTTTATTATTGATTTACTTTATTTGTCATAATTTGTTATTGTTTAATTGTTGTTTAATATGTTATTTGTTACTGTTTATGAAAGGTAAAATTGTCAGATTTTAGGGTTCCTTCATTAATATAGATTTTACAAGGTGATTGTAGACACAGGCTCTTGGGATAATTTTGTTTTCTTTCTGCTAAATATTAATGTTGCTTAATGTATGTATATAGCAGTCTGGAGAAGATGAGGTTAATTATTACTATGTTACCACAAGGATAACATGCATAAGTGAGTTAGACAGGTGACTGGGCTGTTCCATCGCTGATGTAAATTTTTGACAAAATGTGTCTTATTGAAGTCTAGTCCTGTGGGCTGAAACCCAGATATGTGACGGCACAAAGCCAAACAGTGTTACCATCAGAGTCCTGTTGGGGGATCAGGCCTTTATCGACAGTGCTATGGTGCATTAGCAAAATGTGAGTAGATGATCAATTGGGTTTTCAGGTAAATAAAAAAAAACAGTTCTACACTATATGCAATTTCTTCTGGCTAAATGTCCATCTCAGGTATTTTGTAATATCAGAGGATCCAATGTCCGTTCTACTATTTAAATGCATTGACCTTTCTGTCGTAGAAAGGTAAAAAGAAGGTGAATGTATTTTGGGAAAGATGAAGAACTTTGAGAAGGCAGTAACTATTGTTCAAGGTTAATTAAACAGATCAATAATCTCCACATTATTCACATCAGATGAATATGAAGAGTAAACTAAGGTCCAGAAATAGGCTTTTCTTGCTCTTACCTGGATCCCTCCAGGACAGGACTTGTGATTGTGGTGTAGTCAGATATTTGTATCTCCAGGTCACATGGAGGTTGAAGTTGGGATCTAATAAGAGACTTCCTGGGACAGTACAATGACTGTGACCATTAAATGTCCCATCATTATTCACTTCAAACTTCTCACTGGACTTCAGCTCATGTTCTCCTGATCTCCAGGTAATCTTCACTTGTTTGGGGTAAGTATCCTGAAGTTTCAAAGAGCAGAGGACATCTCCACCATCACACAGACTTGTCTTCACCTGTTCCAGGACTTGTGGCTTTGCTAATATTGTAAATAAAAATTATCAGTGTATTAAGACATCATCTACTCTACCTTATGTGCATTTGTGTATCTCATTATCGTTAAAAACATCAGATCGTATCTGCAACCCTTTTGCTGCGAGAGACGTTTTTTCAAATGTTTGCACATGTTAAAATGCAAATTTTAGGCCTGAAAATTACTTAAAGCCCCCGAGAATGATACAAGTTTAAACATTTCAAGTTGCAAAATTGTGTGGACCTGTAAATGGGAAAAAAAGACAGTACCCAAAAATATCTATAGATGACCCTTTAAAAGTTTTTACAGGTCATCAATTTAATGTTAACCATAAATAATGGCCTGAGAATTATTGCTCTCACTCTGGCGTGTGCAGCTTTACCCAACATGTGGCTCAATTGGCGTAATCCCACCTGACGAGTGTTTGTGTGAGTGTGCGGGGGCGGGTGACTTTTTTGTGGGAGTTTTTATAGATTTATTTTATTTACATTATTTTTTTTAAACTTTTTTTTTTTTTACTTAAATGTATTTCAATCACATAGGGGGCTCACAAGCAGTCCCCAAAAATCTATATACAAACTGCTGGCCATGACATTGATAAGCTTCGGACTTTAATGAATGTAAAAGCAGGATGAGCTGAGCTGCTGAGAAAATGACCATAAAAAACTTCAGCACTTCTGTTATGACCTTTGGGGATGAATTATTCCACAGTGTTTGTAGCTATAGAGATCAGTGAGGACTTGTTATAAAGCTCATTTACTGTTTGTTAAACAAAGCAGTGGTCTGTATCTCCAGTGGTCTGATAACCCCCCCTGACCCCTTTCCATGAAAACTGCACCTATCAACGTCCTCACTACCAAAGGAGCATTTTGACTGGATAAGTGTTCAAGAAATATGTTGGACCACTGGAGAGCCTGGCTGCAGATTTGTGTGAAAGAGCCACTTTTCGAATAACCTATGTGGTATTTAATTTTTTAACCCTTGCTGCAGCGCTTAACATTTACAAAAATGGTTCAGAGCAGCATATTCATTGTCATATACTGTATGTAGCCTGACTACATTACATTAGTATTTAGCAAGGGTTCAATTGGGCTTTAAGGATATTTAATACTTGAATGGCTATAGCCTTGCCATGATCATGAACAATTGTCTTACCACATATAGACTTAGGCTTGAATTCCTTGGTCTTGGTTTGTCCCTCAGAGGAGATTCTGCAGGAGAAAATCACTCCAAGGTGTTTGGACACGGATGGTACTAATATGAGTGATGCTGTTACATTATTCAGTCCTTCTTTATCAGACTCTTCTATCTCCTTAGATATCATATAACCGGAGTCTGTCAGGGGATCCCCTCCAATGTTTGATATTTCCTCTACTCTTCGATCTGTATGTTCCACCATCCACATCACACGGGTGTCCTTAGAGCAATCAGACACTGAACAATACAGAGTGACCTTCTCCTTATGAAACCAATGAGAAGGACCCTGGATCTCCCCAACAATGAATCTCTCATCTGATGAAAGAAAACAGAAATCAACAGAATACCAATAAAATAAGACAAAAAAACATTACATAATATACAGTCGGCTGGCTTATCAATGGAAAAAAAACATTTAGAGTCTTGTGGCTTTGGATGTCAGACATTTTGAACATTATACACATAATATCTCATTGGATATTTGTTGCCCCGTTCACCTATTGTAATACCCATTCTGTCCCTTTCATGATGGAGCTCTTATTGGTTAGCTTGTGCATAACAATACATATTTCTGCCTCTGTAATTGTCTTTGTTTTTTGGACTAGTCAAATGAACCCTACCCTGTATTAGCAAATGGGTACCTGGTTTGCCTTAAATGGGAAAAGGCCCAGGTTTACTTTAAGTTGCAACTCCCTTTAAGCCAAATAGCATGGGGAGAGTTAAAACTCCTATTAGGTGTCTACTGCAATCTTTGTACCTTCTGGGGAGATTTAACCTTCCTGGCCATGTGGCATCCTTTATAATAGAGAGTGAAAGAGTATCACTGAGACAGGAGTAGTGGGTTAATTTCCACAATAGGGACACACATTTATTGAAACCTTACATAGATTTTCAACTTTCCTCACTCTATCCAAAAACGTCAGCTGCAGTTGTGCTTTAGGTTAATGATTTCAGCTTAGTCAACTGCTCTTATCTCATTGTTCTGAGCTGTTTCTGTGCTACTTTTCTGGAAAGACAATAATGCAGGAAGCTTTACAGCATAGGGATTTGATCCTTACTGTGTACATCTGTTTCTTTTTGTAACAGTAAATGTGTAACATGCTGATAAGACAATAACTCTACATCAACTTGTAAAACCAACTGTTTCCCAGTAATGAGTGTTTCAGTAAAGGTGACTGGTAAAGTCGAATTAAAAATTCAATTTAGCTTCAGCAGTCAATCATACTGAAACTCTTGAGCTTGGGTTCCATCACCAGTGACAGCTGAAGACATTATACTTTTAAAGAAAACTCCTTAAATCTCTGCTTATTACCAGAAAACATGGAGAGAGATGGATAACCAGTGATAATCACACATCCCACATACCTGTTGGCCTAACAGCAGAGTCAGTCATAGATACATATTGTGGAATCTGGGGACGAGACTCTTGCCGAGTCTTTTCTTGAGGTGATGGAACCACAGTCTTTATGTCTGTCAAAGAGATAACACACAACTTGTACATAAGAAATATAAAACTTACCTTACCTTATGTTTTGTGTATACACTATGAGGACGTGGTTGGCAGTTCTAATAAAAGTGGAGCACAAATTATACGTGTAGACAAAAAGTTTTCTTTATTTGAGTTTTGGATAGAATGGGGAAATATTAGAACCAATGTCAGGTTTTACTGTTATGCGGGGCTCTTTTAGAGACATTTTCCCTCATTTCCTGTCCTACTGACTCACCAAACAGGAAGTAGGTGAAACTATGCAACAGGGACACAGACGCCAATGAAAATCCAACATAGGTTCTAGGCTTCCTCCAAACTACTAATTAAGCTAATCTGCCAATAGAAAGCATCTCTCTGTCTGTGCTGCTGTTGGAGATTTCCTCTCACTTCCGGTCTGGTAAAAGAATGTCAGCAGAACAGGAAGTAAAGAGGAAAATCTCTCTAACATAGCCCCAAATAGAAGTCAAAATCTGATTGTTTGAGGTACCAATCCTTCTCCACTTCATCCATAACTGGACATAGGCTTTTACAATATGTTACCAATGCTATTTTTACCACTTTGTATATTTTTGAAAAAAATAAATAAAATGTTTTAAAGTGGAACTTTCCTACACATTTATAATCCTAAAAACTTAATTCAATATCCACGTTATTATCTTCAGCAGAGTCTGTTCTGTTTCCATGCAATCCTAACAATGCATACAGTTAGCTGTTTTGCTCTAAGATATCTTCCAATAATTGGCTATCAATGTTATTGCCTGCATATTCATGAAACATGTACCTATTTGTTATCACTCAAAGTATTTTACACATTGGGAAAAAATGGGTTAAAATAGTTATTTTTGACTTTTAACACTGATTGTATTGGTGTCTCTTTAGATTTTCAAATTCTTATGATTTTGTAAAATTCACCAAATACACAAAATTACTAAAAAAATGGAAAACACACAGAGAACACAAAACTGTGTGTATATATATATA